GTTTGTGTAAATAATGAGCTGGTAGAAGATGAGCAAGTTCCTTTCTAGAGAAAGCACCATGATGCAACTGAAGATAATCAAAGTTATGATGTGACAGTATCCAGCAGTGCTTTACTTACCAAGGGAATTTTAACAAAGCTACCCTCCATCTCATAATTTACACTGTCATTCTATCTCAGAGCTGCTTTTGAGACAATTACAGTTCAGCTTTAGACTTCATTAATGAAAATAAACTTGAAAGACAAGTTTAATCCTGAAACAATGCCAGGACACTCCAACCACAGCTCTCAGCAGTCGATAACCCACTGGACAAAGCACAAAATTAATATATGTTGTTTTGAAACTTTTAATTAATTCTGGCCAAGCAAGTTCCTACAAGTAAGTCAAATAATTAAGGCTAATTTAAGAGACACTTCAGTAAAAGCACAAAATGAACCTAAAGAATCAAATCCAGCACACAACACCATGCTTTACAGTAGGAACTGTAAGTTATGGAAACTCAGATCTGTAACATACAAACTGTAAAGCTGAGTCCATAAGTAGCTGTAAGAGCTACTTTCTACTAGTTTTGTTCTTTTATACTACTTAAAATGCTAACAGGTATCCAGAGTAGCAACTGAAACTGAATGGTCAAGAAGCAGCTGATACACATGAACAAGTCACCTACTGCTAACCCAAGATCTTGAATTAAACTCAGGTTTCAAGAAAACATGTCATTACAAGAGGTGACAAAGATGTCATGTGCTTTACAGTATCTCTAATAGTGAGCAAGCTTAGTATCTGCAACAATAAAACACTCCTCAAAGTCTCATTACATCCCTACTACAAAGCAATGCCAAATATTAACAATAGCTGAGGGTTGGCCTTGACCTACATTTATCAATTATAAAAACGCTTTTCTTACATATCTGTATATATTTAAAATCCTTCATGCTCTTCATGTTTCTAAACATCACCTCTGTATGTTGAAGTCACTGAGAACATGAAGTGCTTCTAAAGCTCACTTGAGCCTTACCTATAAAGCACACACTGAAACTCTGGAAACTGCACTGAATGTCCTCATTTGAAACATCAATTTAACATGAAACTGCTTCCTGCAATACACAGTCTGCCTTAGGTATGACTTTCCACCCTTTATTATGCTTAGCTCTAGTAAGACTGAGCCCCCTGCAGTTTGTAAGACCTGACACTGCTTTTCAAGCTTTCCATTCAATCCACTGAAATTCAGGATTGCCAGCATCTGTCTGGAGAACACCCCCTTCAGTTCAACTTGACTCCATCACTTCAACACAGTTCAGCAGACTTGCAGCAGTATAAGAAAAGTGAATTTAAATATAAAGAAAGCATCAATAACAACAAGCAGTTAAAGTCAGTATTTCAGAAATGTGACTTGCACACCAAGTAACACTTACTCTACCCAAGAATTTGCAAGTATAAATAAAGTTTATATATTATGGTATATGCATCTTTTTCAGTGAAAGGACTGATACAACATATCTTCATCCTTGAATGCTGATCGAAGCTGATTTTATCTGTCATCTTTTTATCATCGTGGGATTTTTACAATGAATTTTTGATTAAAAATCTTGAGGACATGCAGTACTTTCACATTTCTCGTTAAAATACTAAGTACTTGAATAATGCACAGTCCCCAGAGCACACAGCCTCTTCTGCTGCCATTTCAAGACCTGTACATCACCTGTAAATTGTGGATGTCTTTATGTGTCATCTTGCGATCAGCCCTGTAACAATGAAGGGTATAAATGGTCTTGCTAAGGGGCTTAAAATAGGATACTATAAAAAACAGAAGCGTCAAAGCCATATGTTTGGCCCGAAATGAGCCAGCTGATAAATATAACCAGTCCAGCTTTTATGTGGCAGTCAGTCGGCTACAGCGCTGAATTAAACAACTCCCTTGGTCGATCTTCCAGGGACAAACGAGTGCTATCAGCCCGCGCGGCAGTGAAGGAGTTTTACCATTTGCGCTCTCGCCGGAGTCACGTGAAGGACGGGATATAACACACGAATCCCACAGGGGACAGAAGGGCCCGGTATCAGCCCGGGTTTGAGATCACCCCATCAGGGCAGCGCGGTCGGGCTCGCTCATGCCCAGCCCCGGCCGCCACTGGCCGCCGGCGGGCTCAGGCCCGCGGGATGAAGCCGTGCCAGCCCCGACTCCCC